ACTTCAGGGCTACAGTAAGAAGAGAGAAGCTTGAAGCAGAGAGAAACGTGGCTGTGGCTGGCCCATCACAGGCTGACTGCAAAGGGTTAAGATCAGAAAGAAGCCAGGACCTGGATGGGTGCCAAGACAAGCCTCCAGCTAAATTGAAGGTGGCCAGCCAAGAGACAGAGGCTGCTGTCCTCTCCCAGTAACCCAGCGGGCTGTGACCTGTCCCCACAAATAGCTCTCTGCACCCAGCAGGCCTTAGGACATGAGGGTGACAGGCCGTTTACAAGGTGTTGCTTAAACACAGCTCCTCCAGCAGTTCAGAGAGTTCCTGTCTCTAAATCAGATTACATATAAACCCATAAACGTGGATTTTAGCCTGTCTGGTCTATGCAAAAAGGAGTATTTAACATAAGGAGTCTTCTCTGAGCTGGGGTAACTTGCACAGGATCCCTTTTCCAACACATGTGTGCTTGTGTCTGATTTTAGGGGTGCTGATCCAGCTGATGTTGAACTGTGGAGGATGTGTAAGGTCAGGACCAGGTCTCATCATTAGAAGCAAAGCTGGATTTTCCTTGAGATCGTTACGAACCCGTTATCAGTACACATGCAAATTATCACCTTGTTGGACAAGAGCCTGTTCTCCACTGACCGACCTGCTGCGTTGAGGTTTTTGAGCTGTGAGGACTGAGCTTACCAAGGGCAGACGTGACACAAGTTAATGTCAGAGCAACGTAACGCTCTGCTCGTCCATCACTGCTCTGTGTGACCATCAAGGAACAGTTATCAACCAGTTGCAACACAGCATCAAAATTCATATTTAGATATTAACAAAGCTGTAAGGATGTGACACAGTTGTGAAGGGAAGAACCACTGATAACTAGGTAATGTGACCACCATTATGGTTTTAAAACTTCTGTTAAAACAAAAATAAAACCCTTTATCATTTGGCTCCTACTACTATGGGCTTTGACAGGTCATTATATTATTTCCCAATGCTTGCACGGGAAAGGGAAGTACTCATACCCCTGCTTTGCACCAGAGAACTGAAACACAGAGGGGGAGACTTGTCCATCCCAGCCTGTCAGAGAAAATGAATAAATCCAGGCTACACAAGCCCTATTTTCTCGTTGGAAACTGCACTAGAAAGCCTTGAGTTAACCCACGTGCCCATCCAAAAGCCACTGTCTTCCTTAGAGCAGGTAGAGCCCAGAGGTCTGCAAACCCACCTCCTCCCTGGGGGCTACGTGAAATACTGATGTACCCGGTTAATAACCATGGGCTGGGGCGGTGAGAGGCGTTTCCCCAGCCCGGAGCAGGCGGCCTGACCAGCACTGGGGCTTTCACAGGCTCTGAATAAACACCAGCTCAGGAAGAACAAATGCAAACCACATTTCCACAGAACTTTTCCCCCCCGCAACTGAAGGGATCATGGTTCCTAGTCCTGGGAAAACAGCTGAAAAAGAGGCATAGAAGCCAAAACCCAAGGGTCTAAGAGTCAGCTTTGGAGAAACAAAAGGTGAGAACATTTGTTTTAAGATGGGAATTGATCTGTGGGAGAAAGCTGGTAAGCAACAGAGAAGAGAGACAGGCAAAGAGGAAATTGACTTTGGATGTAATCCTACAAACCTAACACAAGAGAGAGCTTTGAGACACTGCCCCTCAGCTTGGTGGCTCAAAGGTCCACCCACAGCTACCGACAGACAGGGAGCTCTTGTCATCCACGGCACAGCTCTTGGGGTGGAAGGGACTAGGATGAAGATGAGGGTGAAGGCAGGTCACCTGGAGCCAGAGGAAGAGGAGAACAGTATCCTGCACCCCTTGCTCCTCCCAAAACCTCACCACCAATCTTAACGTGGGGCTCTGGCTCCTGGGGGAAACCAGGCATCCAAACTCCCCTTGTTCTACAACACAAACCTGCTCGGCCCACATCTACCAAAGGGGATTTGGCTCCAACCTGCAATCCCGCAGACAGGAAAGCTGCCCCAAGCCCACTCCTCCCCAAGCAGGCTCAGGAGGGACAGCACGGCCACAGATCACAGCCTGCCTGCCCAAGTGGCTTCAAGCCTGAAGGAAGTGACCCGGACCACCCATGCGCCCACGCTCACCGTGGCCGGGCTTTGTCCACACCACGTTGGACGGCACAGACGGGGGAAGTCTGCCAGCACTGCCGGTGGGCCAAGGCAGCCTCCAAACTGCTAACAGGTGGCTTTCAACAAGAACAGCCCGAGCTGGATTTGAACTGGTGCCCAAGCACAGAAAGCTCCAAGTTTAATCCTCAGCCCCCTCAAAAAATTTATCTACCAAGATCTACGCAGAAAAAGGAAGAGGAGTCTGTACGTCGAGTCCCTTGGTTAGTGTTTTTCTTTGCTGCTCAGTCTCCTTGCACAGCATCTTCTCCTGTGCACCAAAGAACACTACAGAATCCCAGACTGGTGGGGGTTGGAAGGGACCTCAGGAGATCATCCAGTCCAACCCCCCTTCCAAAGCAGGTTCCTTTTGGGACCATCTCAAGAGATGGAGCCTCCACAGCCTCTCTGGGCAGCCTGTCCCAGGGCTCTGGCACCCTCACAATAGAGTTTTGCTTGCAAGATCTCCTGGCCTTATGCTCATATCAACAAACAGGATGACAAGCCATAGCATTGCCCCTTCCCTTCAGGAGACAACAAGGCCAAAACTAAGAGCAAAATATGGCATCAAGAACAAGGCAGGGCTGAAAGACAGCTCAGGAGACCACCCAGCCCCAGGCCATGAAACTCCCTCTTCCATATCCCTGCAAGATGGCTTTGCCACAGCCCACTCAGCAGCAAGCCGTGAAGTTGACACCAGTGCTGCTGGGACAGCCAGCCCCTGGGACAGCCAGCCCCTGGGACAGCCCCATGGCCACAGCTGCCTGCCGAGGAACCAGGACACGAGGGATTCCCACAGGAACCCAGCCAAGGTTCAGCCTGGGTGCTGCACTCTCCCATTCAGATAACTGGGGTCCAGTCCAGTTCCATTTGCTGAGGCAGGATCAAAGTTACTCCAGCCATCCCCAGCAAATCTGTCAACTGGGACACGCTGTGGTTTCCACCACAAGCAAATACTCTTGGAAAAACAGAGTGGGAACTGCCTCATCACCTCTCTAAGTTCCCTCCTTTCCCCAGAGCTGGCTTGCTGCCCATCCTATTGCTCATCATTTCAGAAGATTTCCGGGACTTATGGAGGCATGAGGGATTTTAAATGCATTTAAACAACCACCTCACATCCTTCCTCCCCATCCCTTTTGTCCTGTTCCTTTGGATGTCTCCCTGTCTTCTCCTCGTTTGCTGGTTCCCCATTTAGCCCAGTCTTGCTCCTGCTCTTACTTATCTTCACAGCAAGACTCTCATGATTTCAGGCAGCTCTTGTCCTATAAATCTTTTGCTGTCACAAGGATCCTCCCTGGGATCTCCCCATCCAAGGGGGCCCTGGAGCATCTAGAAGGAAAAACCTGTCAACTTTCTGAATAAAATTTCACTGAACAAACACAAGTATAAAAATTCCCATTGGTTTCCTTCTCCATACAGAAGCAAAGGGCTGTTCACTCACGTCAGTGCTGAAATGTGGTAGATAAGCAGGCGACTAAGGTCAAGTGGCTATCAGGGCCATCTCCTCCCCTTTGTTTTTCCCCGCCCTGTGAGAGATCCCAGTGTTTATGGAAGGAGATGAACAATGGGGGATACCCCATCCCACCCATACAAACTTGAATCAACAGAAATCCCACGTGTCAGCGGAAGAGAGGGAGACACACAGAGAAAAGGCAGAACGGCGTTGGCATTTCAGGGAGCCCTTTTTAGCAGCAGCAGGAAGGTCAGAGCCAGAACAGACAACTCCAACACAATGAGCTGCCCAAGCTAAATATAAACCCATCGAGGGCATGGATACAGGAGTTTGTTTTTACAGTGAGCTGAGAGATGATCAACATTGTGCCACATCCCTGCTCAAAATAATTCTCCGCGTTATCGTTACTGACAGGCTGTGTATTTTATCAAAGAGGCTGAGCCCAGGCTTACACCCATTTGCCAGTCTAAGTCAGTGGAAACAATTAACTAGGAATGAAAAAAACTCAATCTTTTCCATTTCTATTGTGTCAGTTTAGGAAAAAATCTATTATGTTCTTCTCCCATGATGGGATCAGCTCATAGGGAGCCACTTATCTAGCTTCCCCCCCCCCTCCCCCCCACCATATATCACCCTTAATGTTACATTAACTGCTAGAAACACCGTAGCTCTCCAGCCCACAGTCCTTTCCCAATATGCCACTTGGCAAAAACTACTTTTCCTTAAACTTAGATCACATGTTGAGGTTTCTACACTTTGCACACAGATATGATTTGGTTGACAAACTGGTTTTGCCTGCTTATTCAGAAAAAAATAAGAAAAGGTGACATTTACCCAGCATAGCTATCTTGGTGTGATTCCCAGAACTGCAGAGATTTTTAGAGGAAGGGGAACTCTTGCAGAAGAAAAAACTTGAGGTGTTAAAAGCAAGGAAAGAGAATGTGCAAGAATAAAATTATGAAGTTAAAGATAAAATATGCTTCAGCCCCAATAAATGGAAGGGAAAGTGCTCTAGATAGAATTCAGGGTGCTATTTTTAAGTACAGTAAGAAAAAGAGAAAACCATGGTGGCACATCATCAACACATTTGTTATTTGGTGCCCAGGGAGACACTCAAATGATTTAGATTAGATTTTAGGTTTAGATTAGATATTAGAAAGAAATTCTTTGGTGTGAGGGTGGTGAGACACTGGCCCAGGCTGGCCAGAGAAGCTGTGGCTGCTCCTCCCTGGAAGTGTTGAAGGCCAGGTTGGATGAGGCTTTGAGCAACCTGGTCTAGTGGAAGGTGTCCCTGCTGATGGCAGGGGGGTTGGGACTGGATGAGCTTTAAGGCCCCTCCCAACCCAAACCAGTCTGGGATTCTCTGATTTGCACAGCTGGTATTTAACTTGGTATTTCTTGCTGGGCTTATGTTACAGCAGAGATTTCCTTACTCTCAAGCATGTACTTCTTGGCAATAGGCAGAGAGAGCAGCCGGATGTGACCGATGAGGGAGCCCCAGGCCTGGGCTCTGGAGAGTGGAGCTTCAGGTGGCAACGGGCTGTAGGGCTGGATCACGAAGTAAACAGTCAGCAAGACCAACCCCAGCGTGAGCAAGGCCTGCGAGAGAAAACAGGCACGTAATTAATTACACTGCAGTGATCTGGTGTGTCTTCAGAACAGGACACACCTTCTGGCTGGTATCAAAGGGTTTGGCTGCGCGCTGTAAGATGAAACACTCAAATTTTTGCTGTGGCTTCTGGTTCAGCTGCAATGCTGTTTGATAAAACTGAGTGACAACTCTGCGTACGTGTTAGGGCTGTCCAAGGGTGAAATAAAGCAGCTTCCAAACCCAAGCTATACAACTCTGTTCATATGTCTTAGCACTGCAAAGAATCCAGCACCAGAGCAATGAGGATCATCTACAGATAGTTCTGATTCCTGCCACCTCATCAAATAGAAGCTTGCACTTCTGCCATGCCTCTTACACAAGGTTTAAGGCTTTCTGCAAACATCCTTCAAGCCTCAAAATACTTTGGCAGAGTTGGCATCAGCTCCCTCCTCCGTACCAGAATCCTAAATAAGCCTTAAAGAAATAAGATGATGCATTTCTCTCCCTGGCCAAAGTGAATCAACAGCAAAAACAAGAACAGAAACCGAAAGTTCAAACTTCTAGTTATCTGTTTTCCTGTCTCATTTTACAGCTTTTTATAGGACTGGTGGAAGACAGCCTGATTTCCCCTCCCCCCCAAATACAAAATCACCACAATGATTCTAAAGACAACACTAAAATATTACTGAATATTAAGCCAGTGGGAAGTTTTTCATCCTTGTAGCAAACACCTCTGACCTACCTAACAACAGCATCCTTCCACCCACTTTGCAAAACTTTTTACAGTGTCTTTTAGTTAAGGGTCTCAAAATATTTTTATAGACTCAAACATCATGGAACCAGGTTAATTTTACAGACTAGAGGGAGAATAAAGACAGGCAGAAGCTTGTGACAGGGTCAGGAACAGAACCTGAATCTCTTAATTATTCAACCCTCAACTTTAAGAATCTCCTTCCTTCCTTATATTTCCACTGAGAGTGCTGACGCTGGGACTCTTTGCCTGAAGAATCAAGCCAGAAGCATCATTCTTTCATAATTTAAGGAGAGGAAGGTGTTGACACATTAAACTTGCAACACACATGAGAAATTTCAAATCTCAGTCAGGTGTCTTCTGTTTTCAAACCAGCTCATGGGACAAAGGAAGGAAGCTACACTTCAGAGCTTTTTAAATAAAGAACTCAGAAAAATTCATCAAGAAAATGCTTTGGGAAATAAGAGGCTCAGGTGTGAAAGGAGAACTTCAAACAGTCTGTGCATGCACAAGAGACATCTTACCTTGTAGAGAGCCACTAAGATGGGGTACCGTGGAGGTCCCCTTCGGGGTTCGTTTCTTTCCAAGAGCTGCTTGATGAATTTCTCAATGGCTTTTTCTGACATCCCACACTGGTGGCCAGTCTGCCTCACTAGATCAATTGTCTCTGATAACTTGTCATAAATGCTGAGTTCATTGGCCGAAAGCTCCATGGCCTCTGATGAAAAAAAATCCCTGTGGAAAGATTCAGGACGTTAACAGAAAACACACTCCAGCCGCGCAGCTCAACACCAGCACGTACAGAGGGATCTGCCTGTTCAATATCTTCCCAGGGACTGAAAGAAGACGTGAAATTTCCTGACAAGAGAAGAACGGGCTGAGATTTGCAGCTTATGTAAATGAACAAAGCTTCTCAGAAATCAATGAAACTCAATTTTATTCATCTATCCCAAATGAATCCATCCCATAAAGCGATTGCTCACCAAGCACAAGAGCCAGCAACACAAAGCTGATCATCACACACAGTAGCCGAGCTAAAGCTCTGCCGTACTAGAATTTTAGTCGCTTATTTTAACCTAGATTTGTTTTCATTAAATCCCCTGTCAGCAATAAGAACAGGGCAGAGAAATAAACCGTATGTGAGGGGCAAAGTTCAACAGTTTACAATTTGTTTAAATTTTCGCAACCTCACGTCCAGGCCAACCGATTATTGAGTAACAGTAACGTGATAGCAGCATGCTCCGCAGGCAACAAAAGCTCCTGTGTTCCTCTGAAAGTTTGCCTGCAGGTCATTCATCTGCAGAAATGCCACAGCACTAAATACCCCAACCAGAACTGCATTGTCAACAGAGACAAAACGACATTTGACAGCAAATTATATCGCACCGTGAAATTTCAACGGGGGAAGCTTTGTAAGAACACACCTAGGAGTGATCAACGTTAAGATGCCAAAAAAAAAAAAGAGAACAAATTTGTGTTCCTCTCCCACTCCCTCCCTGTCAGCCACAAAGGCAGAGCCTCGTGATACCAAGGGCAGCAGATGGGCTGAAGAAAAGATGCAAAGAAATTGTTGGACAAGCTAATAGCTGCCAATGTGAGAATCTCATTGTTGGGGAGATATTTAGCCTCAAAAAACCACCCAGTGCTGGGGGGAAGAGAGCATCTGTGAGGTTTGCTTTGCTTCTTGTTTCTGACCTGGGAAAACTCTAACCTGAATCCAACTGGGACAAGGGAAGCTCCTTCTGGAGAGACAGAGTTTAGCAACGAAAGCACAGACTGAGGAGCATCGTGTAAACACAAAGGATGCACAATCCACACACCCAACTCACAGCTGAAAATGGAAATTAGGGTCCTGTTCCCCTTTTGCTTTAAATACCACACGACACCAGTAACCAGCTGGTGAATCCAGTGTGCTGCTTCACCCAGAACACCACCCAGCTCCACTAAATCCATTGCTGTACTGCAAGAATTGTATAATTATTTATACAGGTCTCTGCACACACCTCACAGATCTGTTCTGCTCATTGGAGAACAAGCTGACGAGCTCTGGGTAACATGCTACCTAAACTTTGATTTGCTCTGCTGTAACTTGTCCTGGCTGCTCCCACAGGACAAATCAGCCATAAATGAGTCTCTGTATGTATATCTCAAGAAATAAGATTCTCTCGTCAGGCAACCAAGCTTGAAATCTGATTTGCTTTTATAGAGCTAGCAGACAGCTCTCCCCCTAAACTGTGGGCTTCAAGAAGTCAGAACTCAAGTGACTGCACTTTTAATATCTTTTTTTTTTTTTCTGCAATGTTAGGATAGAGCTTCAGAAAAAAAAAACCCGTATTATTCAACAGGACTACCAGCTTCAGCAATTGCTCCTCTCCTCCCAAGATAACTCCCTGTTCTGCTCTTGTACATTTGTTTATGTGGTCACATGGTGAATCAGATCAGGAAAATTATCTGGCTGAAAAATAACCCCTATTTGTTTGGTCAGCAGCTGCCTAAGCATCCAACTCAAGCAGTTAATGTCAAATGTTATATTAACATTAGTGTCAAATGTCTAGCCACAGCCTTAGAAACACCAAGAAGCAAAACACCAAATTAAAAACCTAACCCCAAGCGCGCAATGAGAACACGCTGCGCTACATTGCCAGGTTAATTAGCTCCTGGCCCTGTTCTACCCACATTCCTCACGTTCCATGCAAATATTTGTCCCAGATCTTACCACCTGAGCAGCCCCATGGGCTAGCAAAGCTGCCCCAAAGCAGGTTTGATCAATAATATCTCATTAGTGATCGTAAGCTCTCCAAGGCAGGGACCTTTTCTCATCTGTAAAGCACCGGGCATGCACTTGGCTCTATAAAAAAAAAATATATTGCTTTACTAACTCTTTCATTTATGTAATACCCTGATTCATGTAACAAGCAAGAGCCAGCACATCTGCAGGATATTAAATGCCTTTCCTCCCTTCCCCCCCCCCCCAGCTTTTATGATTACTGTAGTTGCCTTGACACTGCAACTGGTGTGCTAAATGGTCTCAAAGGTTATCTAGCTTCCTCTGGCTCCCATGTGCCAAAGCTTTCTCCTGTGAAGCTCTCCCGTGCTGAATTCCAGCAGAGTCAGCAAGCTTCCCCTGCTTGTAGAATCTCCCCTGGAAGCACTTAAAACACTTATCCCTACAGAAATGCTGTCAAATACAGTGATTTCCCCCTTTCCAAAGAGCAGAAGCATCCTGCTATGATAAAAAGCCGATACATCCCAGTTCTCCCTATCTACATTTGTATTCAACTCTGAGCAAACACTTTTGAAGACAACCCCTGCAAGTCACAGACATTAAAAACCCAACGCAGCTCCTTGACAAACTCAACACTAACCCATATCCTCAGCTAGGAAATAAAGCATTACGCTCCCACGTTGTTTTGAGAACACATGAGGCCTTAAAAACCAAATAACAATCCATTATTCCCCTTCCTATCGCCACAATACAACCGACAAAATAGCAACAACAGCCTACTGTGCCCGTTTCGCTGTCACACGCGGATACTGAACGAGTTTTATCCCTTGCACACAGCAACTCCTCAGAGACAGGCTTTTTCAACCAGGGAACCCATATGTTAGTGCTATTTTTTAATGAACTCCACCATCCTAGGAGGAATAAGCAGCTCTCTTTGCAAACATAAACAGCAATGGTTCTTGACCCAAAGGGTCTCCCACCCAAGCACCCAGTCCTACTCCCAAACCCGATGCATGGTGGGGTGTTTGGACACAGGCTTTAAGAAAATAAATATTTAAGAGAAATGCTGTCAGAGGAACCTTTAAAAGGAAAAGCTTGCTTGCCTGGCTGGTAAACCTGAAAAAGCGATATAAATATAAATACATTCTCATCTGCTTTCACACTGTAGATCTTCCTCCTTCTGCCCTGCTCGGGGGGGGGGCAGCTCCCAGCCCTGG